TGCGGAGCCCCCTCTCGCACCTCGTTGCACCTCGGCGGCATGTTAATTATCGGGCCGGGAAAAGGTCGATGTCGGAGCGAGGAACCTTGCTGTCCAAAACTCTATAATTCTGGCAAGAATCGGTTCATGCGTATTCCACTTCCAAGTACACAATCTCGCAACACAATCTCGCAACACAATCTCGCAACACACGTTAGTTCGTACAAAAAGCTTGGAGCGCATCGGGCATCAGCACTACCGGAGTCCTCGGCACGAAACACGCGAAAAATATACAATTCTGTTCTGGTCCCCTCCGCCATTCTTTGGGCAGGACAGTGGCGCGGTGGAAACTACCGCTTGGGGTGAGCAAAGCGACTTGTGCCTTCCAATCAGGGCGAGTGCGGCCCCAATATGTCCTCCCACGCCCGAAAACAAAATGCCCGGCACACCCGCGTCAACATGTTTCGACTCCCATCGTTCTCACCGGATTCGCTTTTCTAAACCGATCCATCAGGGCTTCTGCTCGAAGCCCGATCGTCTTCCGCCCTCCCCCCGCTCTTCCGTCCGCGGTGCCCAGCAGATCAGTGGAACCCCGGGGAGAGGCATCCTCTATCCGCTGACACCTCCGCATCGCTGCCATCCATCTTTTTTCGTTCGACACAAGTGAAAATACAACAACACAAAAAATACCGATCGAAATCGGGTGGCGGGGGGGTGTACTCATAGTCGTGCATGCCGTAGTCGTTAGACCATTGACGTCGCATCCCTACAAAGCCGGGACGGAGCACGCCGGGTCCTCACCGGACCAGGATCGAAATCGGGTGGGGACGAAAAAGAAAAGGGTGGGGTGAGGGACGACAGGCCAGGAACAATCAAATGCACCGAGAATTGCTCGATTTTCTCGGAACAATTTTTTTCTGAGGTGTTCCTTCCCGACACAAGTCCAGGCTCATTCTCCCGCAGTCACCCACGACATTGGTCTTCGAAAATATGTACCAGGGTCTCGTCATCTCGGGTACAGGAAAAAGAACTGGCATAAAAAATGGAAGCGAACGATCGGAGTGCCGTCACACAGACAGGCATCAGATCATCAGGAACCAGGCCCCGGGCTGGCGCTGTACACACTCCTCGCCCTGTCCTTTTCAAGGCTGCCCTTGCGCTAACGCTGTTCAAGTTCTCGGATGATGCAGATGATTAAACGTGGCTCGTCATTTCCGCCGCAGAGCCAGAAAAGGGTGGTGCGCGGCTACAGATTACAGGCAGACCGCTTGGCAAAGCTCCCGCAAACATTCAATATCCATGCCAATGCATGAAGAAACAACAGCGCCATGACCGTCAAAACAGGCGTGTGGAGTAGAGGGGGGCTTCACGCATGCGTCAAGAGCAACCAGCCACTTACTTGAGCATCTCGTCTTCGCTCTCGGCCTGCAGCTCCAGCCTGTACCCGTCATCCCCGACCAGAAGGAAGCAGAACGGAATCTTCCCTGTTGCGCGATACCAACAGCCAAAACGTTGGAGACAAGAAGCCGGGATAAGGGCTTGTGTTCTGCCTCAAACTGCAACCCCTTTGACCCAACATGAAAGCAACTACGGCAGCAATGACACCAAACTCCCCAACACCTACAACAATAATAACATCGACACAAACACAGCAGCAGCAGCAGCAATGCCAACAACACCAACAACAACGACCACAACAACGGCAATGGCAACGGAAACAAGTATGGCAAACGGTACCATCAACGATCCTTCCATCTAAACACATGCGTGTGTGGGTTGGCGGGGTACGGGAGAATGCAGAATGTGCCACACGGTCACTGGCGGTCGTTGTTGATTTTTTTTTTGTTATTTTCGTTGTCGTTGGTAACGTTCTTGGTATTGTCATCGGTGTTGTTGTTGATGTTGTTGTTCGCTTAAACCGTGCCGACCATGCTCGTTAGAACATCCATCATGCTGCCACCACCCCAAAAGAGGACACACATATCCCTTGGACACAGTCCAAAAGGAAACGCGTCCAATGCCTTTTCATAGTGCTGTGTTCTGTTCCTTCTCGCGATGTGTTATGTCCGTTCTCGCGACGTCTCCCGTCTACTGGGCAGGCTAATCCCTGGCGAATTCCGTCGTGGAATGGAAATGGCAGGCCGGGAACTAATACACACGTTGGGGTTAATGTACAACAATGGAGGATGCATGAATGGATGGCTGTGTTCCGACGAATAATAGAAAGCCATCAATTATCAAGTTGTCAAGTGTGCATGCGGAATGCGGCGGAACATGCTCTCGAGTCGGAAGTTGCAGCGGTGTGGCCCGAACCTGTCGTTGACAAGCTAAACAGGTAGACACACACAGTCATTCCAGCGTCGAACGGGCTGTGCGTTTCATGTAGATTGAACGAGGCTTCCATTTGATGGCGGGTAGGCAAAGTGTAGGCACGAATTCGTCGAGATCGGAGCAATTTGGTGCCGGAAGCACCTGCTGCATGCTCGTGTTTCTTCGTGCTTGAGGCTGATCACCGACACAGCCAAATATTAACACAGGAGGCGTCAATCAGGCTGAAACTTGCTGAGGGCGTCCAAAGTAGTGCAGGACGGCCAATGGTCTGATTCCTCGCGCCTCAGCAGTTCAGGTCAGAAAAGTGCGTGGTTCGGAGTTTCGGAGTGAACGTGATCATTCATTCATTCATTCATTCATTCATGCACATATTTTTTACCGTTTGTGAGACCTCTAGATAGAGACCGTAACGGTCTCCTAGAGGAATTCGCGGCTCGGACGTTCGGCTCAAAAACGTGCGTGGTTCAGGCCTTCGGACTGAAAGACCATTCATTCATTCATGCATTCATTCATTCACAATTTGTTTCGTCATCTATCTAGAGACCGTATCGGTTTCTTTGAGGAAAGAAGCTGGTCGATTCTTAACCTGGACAGTCAGGCTACCGCTTTGTTTTTCCTTCAAGTTCTTTTTTGGGTAACCTTTATGTGTGGCAGTCGAGTAGATCATGTTGTGCGGGGTCGAGAACCCTCACTCCGCGCAAAGGTGATGGTCGGACCACGTTGTGTTAAAGTTGTCAAACGCAGCACTTTTGATTGTTTCTGGAAGGGAAGGCATCAGGAAATCGATGAAGCCGTTCGCAGCTGCCATCCGTATGCATGCGAGGAAATAAGCACAAGATGCCGAACATCGTTTAGCAGGAAGCAGCGCACCCGCCATCCATGCGACTCGCCGAATACCTCACGCGCTTTGCGCTTGGACATGCGAGCGCCTGGCCCGGTGAGAACCCGGCGTGCCCCGCCCCGGCTTTGTAAGGATGCGGGGTCAATGGTCTAACGGAATTTACGACAACATACCCCCTCCCCTTATCGTCCCTCGATACCAACAATAGCCTCTGCCATGTTCGAGAGCATGATAGGAGCTCGAAGTACCTGTCGAATCTTCACCTCGACCTTACTCTATTTTTGTCTCCACATCGACGTGTCACATTGTGACCGCCCGCCCCCCATCAATCGGTTGCCCCTATTTTCATCCAAAATTCATTCCACGCAGGGATAGGCGTCAGCACGCCAACCATTAACTTGAATGGGAGACGTAATCAATATTACGCAGCTTCATCTTCCTTACGAGCACAGCCCTATGGGACAACACGCACTATTGCACCCCCCCAAACGCGTAGAATAGATGCGTTTGCAAGGAACTACAGTCCGCACAACAGATTCCCGCCGCATATGCATATGGCCTCAGTAGAGCTTGCGATGACAGGTTGTGGGACTACAATATACGCTTCACTGATTTCTTACAGGACTAGTCTAGTCTACATCTTCCTGTACGCGCACGGCGGTATCTTCGGTTGAAGTAGCCTCTAGTTCAACGATGCACGTGTACACGCCTTGGATTTGCGGCCAACCCGTTTCGCAAGGCTTATTTCCCTTTACCGTCGACTGTTGACCGCGCCGCGTGGTAGACTCCTGAGTACGGCGGAAGGTAGAGTAGGAAAGAGACACACGTCCAAAGCACAACCTTCAAGTTAACTGCCCATAGATTTGGACTCAATCAAGATCTCAAACACAGGTCATCACGGTTCATTGGGTATACAGATCTTCGAATGTCTTTTCGATGCTGGGCCAAAACTACGCCATAGATGAAGGGAATTGGGAGAGGGAGGCAGAGCGAGAGAGACTCACACAGACGGAGGGAGCGATAGAGAGAGAGAGAGAGAGAGAGAGAGAGAGAGAGAGAGAGAGAGAGAGAGAGAGAGAGAGAAAGGCTGTCATAGTATAGAGTCTGCCAACTCCTGCCTCCCCCCTGTCGCTGGAAGTAATTTACACGGACACACAAGGAATGGAGGGGGGAGGGGGGGGGTACTCATAGCCGTGTAGGCCGTAGTCGTTAAACCATTGACTTCGCATCCCTACAAAGCCGGGACGGAGCACGCCGGGTTCTCACCGGACCAGGCTCTCACATTACCAAGCGCGAAGCGCCGTGAGGTATTCGGCGAGTCGCATGAAGGGTGCGCTGCATCCTGCTAAGGGTGTTCGGCATCTTGTGCTTACTTCCTCGCGTACGGATGACAGCTGCGTATGATCTAATTTGTTTTTCTGGTGCTGTTACTTCCAGAGACAGTTGTAAGCACTGTGTAACTGCCTCGAGGACGCTTGACCAACTTAATACAACGTGGTGCAATTATCCCCTTTACGCGGATTGAGGATTCTCGACCCCGCACAACATAGTGTACTCGACCACCATTCATGGTTACCGTAAAAAAAAAAAAGCAAAGGCAAAAATTATAAGAAGCGTTAACCTGGTTGCCGAGCTCACGGAGTGATCGGCTTGTATTACACATCGCTGCCAAACGACGAAAACCCAACCCCGATGGCAAACACCGGTGGGGGCGGCTTGTTTGACAACGTTGTTGCCAAGCGACGAAAACCCATGGGAAGGAATGTAGGTGGGGGAGGCAAAATCTACGAAAAGAAAAAATTGAATGTGTGAGAGCTAGCGACTTCGGGGAATGCATGTCATCCCACTACTACCACTCACCAGGGATCAAACATTCCGTCTTCTCGGCGATCGCCTCAACAATGTTGTTCAGCAAATGATTGGCGACGTTCTTGTCTTGGAGCCAATACTTGAACCTGTTGCAATGCTCCACGCCGTCGGGCTAACATGTACAGTATAGAGACGGTAGAAAAGCGGGATAATGTTCTCGTTATGAGTCTTCTGCAGCGTACGCTGGTACAGTACGGCAATGTTGGAAACGTTCGGCAATGTAAAAATGGAGAAGTGAATGGCGCCCACCTCACGTATATTTTGCGCTTCAGGGTTTCAATGGCGGCAAAGTACATATTGTGCTACTGAATGCAATTACTACATTAGTTAGAATATGAACTGCTATTCTCGATGACACATTCCCAAAACCAACCGTTTGTCTCCTCGAACCGAGTTGCTCCAGCTTCAACAAGTCGATCGTACGACCCTTTTCCGGAAAATCGATATGTAGCGGCCAACGTTGTGTGGAGGGCATCTATCTCTGGGTTATGGAAGATACTTTTTTTTATCTGCATAGACAATTATTTTCGATACGCGATGAATGATTTTGTTTGATGGACTGATCACAAATCTACATATAGCACTTTTAAGTGGTCACAATCTAAGCCTAGATGCGTATTTTCAAGGCCGTCGAAGAAGAGAAGAATTGTTGGGGTTATATTTTGATGAACTTCTATTGTATTTGAGTTCATCCAAGGTTATGAAGTAGACTGCACAATGTATTCTTGTCAACTTTCACATGATGTTGTTTGCTTGACTCGATGCCCTTGACGCACCTCATCAGGAGATAGCGCCAGGAATTTTCCGATCAGCTGGTGCGTTGTTTTGATGGGTTCGTCTCCCTTAGCGAGTTCCTTGGTAGTAGCCTCTGCGATGCTGGGCACCTTTGATCCGCACCAACGAAGGTAATCGCATCAAATATGCATGTCACAGCGAAGAAATAGGTTGCACAAATGGTAAACAGTGCTCACGCGTGATGTTCGCGTAAATGGGCACACTCAACTGTGAGACATGTGCAGAACAATGTGTTCATGTGGCGACGTATATACTCCCACACAGTCGAGGTGGAATTACTTACGGTAATGCCATCGAACGCACTTTCATACGGACGGGGTCCCTCTTGCTCAGCAGCATTCGGCGACACAAGGGCTGTCAAGCATGCGCCACAGAGTATGGACAACTTTGTTCCTGGCTTAAGACTGCGTGATGGGCATCTTTATTTCAACGTTTCTTGCCGAAAAAATGGATACGCGTTGCACATCTATCATGCAAGTGAACCTGGCTGCAGTCTTGACTCGAGGTAATCGAGAATGGCCATTCTTCATCAAACGCGTGGCACCGAAATGCCGACGTATGACGAGTGCAATCTACAGTACGCCATCACCTCGGATAGGTTGCCCTCGATCTTAGCACGGATGAACTCGGCAAGAGCGTCGTCCCTAGTCGTGGTGGTGGTCGCGCAGTACGGGATCCGTTCCACCTGTACCATCAACACAAAGCCAAGGTGGGAGTATGAATGAGACGAGGGTTACGAAGGCAGTCCTTTACACCAAAAAGTGGAGCTGGAGCACCAAAGGACGGCCCGCTGCTCTTTGGTGGGATACGTTTTGCAGACTGTAGATGATACCAAGTACGGCCCGCGCACGAGAACGAAGTAAATGTAGAATTTCTGTGAGGCTAGCCCTTTCGCAAAAAATACAGAAAATCGACGGTATGAACATGCAGTCCTTTGTGGTTTGCTTCTGTTCTGCCACCTAAAAAACTCTGTCACCCACGATTGTAATCGAGCCTTCAGCCGCTTTCCCTCTGACAGCGGCTCTGGCGGAATCCGTTTCCCACCGATGGTTAAGGCTGTGCATGCATGCGAGCTCGCAAATAGCTTTTCTGGCCACCTGCTTCGAAAATTTGTCTTCACCAAATGGTCGAGCCATTTTGTGTACTTTTCTCCCAATGAACGCAACCAATTCATCTCTTCCACAGATCAGAGTCCGTGGAAATTGTACTGTAGGTAGGTGTGTTGTACAGCAACTGGTTTTCCTGCCATAATATATATATACTGTATTGCCAAAGTCTCCCCTACTGCCTGCTCGTTATCCCGCACGAGTCCAACTAATCTCGGACTACATACCGTACTTCCTGTCGTTAGAGGGCGCATTTCTTACTCAACAATCAGCCACACGTTCGCTGCAACATCTCGCCGAACAGAGTCGCGACACAGAATCACTGTTCATCGGCGCAATAGTTACCTCTAGTCTAGAAGACGGCGGAACATTGCGACAAACATGGATCACCGTTGATAAATCACACCCATAACACTCGTCTAGACTTCGGAGTATATCAGAAGGGACAGGACAGATCGTGCTACGTTCGTAGTGAGTGGTACCATGTTGAAAGCGCCGATTCCTCAGCCTAAGTCGGGACTACTCGCTTGAATATTGTAGGGTTGGTCAATTTCTTGGCTTGGCGGACTCCCGCACACCATGAATAACGTACACAACGAAATTTGTTTGTGCGGGTGGCATTCTCCGTGGCGCGAGGTTGTACGAGGTCCGCATAAGCTCGATGCCCGGCACGGCACTTCGCTGAACTTTAGTGAGATGCTACCATCAGAAGTCATCATCAATGCAACAACCGCGACACGGCAAACGGAACAGCCCTGGGCATCATCGCTAAGTAAGTCCCGCAACCGCTCACATATTACTTTATAGAACCCTCACCGTTTTGGGCATGGTGTTCTCGCGTGGGCAGGATGACCTTGTTCGGAAAAATAGGTGGTGGAGGAGGACTGCTGTGTGGTGAAGTGACTGTTGTCATCGCGCGCTCCGAAAATGATCCATTTTTCATTGATTGGCGCTTGCCGGCTGACCAATCAAAAGACACCGTCTAATAATGTATTGTTCCGGTTGGAGCTGCGAACAGTGACTTCTTTTGTGCCTTGTCTTTTGAGATCGGCCATGCATCATAACTACAAATGCGTCAGCAATGTATTTGGCACCCACTACGGCCCAATCCACAAAAATATGAGTTCCATCCCACGGTTGGTTCCCTTGGAGCAGCGTGGAGAACAACCTAGGCGCCTCTCATGGCGCTCTTTTAGATGACTTTTATGGTGCTTCGTGGTGCTCAATGGGAACCATGTGCGAAGGTGTACCGATTCTGATAAAAGTCAATCGACGGATACCCTGCGAATCGGGTCCTCCTTAACACTCTCCACCCACAGAATTTACCTTCAACTGGGAACCTCTTGTGGCCAGGACGGGTAATTCGATGGAAGTATCACAAGGTTCTTTATAGGATCGATTCCAAGAGGTGTTCTCAGGACTGACACACATTGTGTCCATGGGAAAATGTCCAAGTCAGGAGAAAAAACGTGCACCCAAGGAGGTTCGAACCACTATCCAGCTGACGCCACATGCGAAGGTGTACCGATTCTGGTAAAAGTCAATCGACGGATACCCTGCAAATCGGGTCCTCCTTAACACATGCCCAATTTCGTGGTGCTCAAGGAGGCCCCATGAGATTTTTCCGTGGCGCACCATGAAAATTCCCATGAGTTTGTTTGTGCTCCTTGAGATGCCTCTTGCGATGCTCCATGGAAAAAAAAAAAAAAAACATGACACCATGGTGCGCATCATAGAGTCCGCCAGTGCCCCTTGGAACCAATGAAATTCCCCATTTGTCAAATTGGGGTTTCTGTCAGGGCTAGTGGCGAAAGCACTAAAAATACTTGTGACAAATTGGTAGGCATTATAACGAAGGATTTTGGGATATTTTGTCTTGATCGTAGTACAGAAAAAACGCGGCTTCATTTTGTGCCACACGACACGACACCACCACAACGATATATCTCGAAAATCAGGCCACCTATCGTCACCGGACCACTTGGAATGTGTGCTCCGTCGTGCTGTCGCCGGGCGTGGCGATCGTGTGGGTCACTGGCATTGTGTGCGACGAGAGAGCGCGGCGGACAAATATTTGTTGGCGCTAGCTCCTCGCGGAAGCGTCTCCGTTTCTGTCTCTCTGTCGAGGGACACGCGTACAGCAGTATCGCGCCGCTTATAGCGAACCGGCACGAAACACGCCGCGTTATGAACCAAACTACTGCTGAAGATCTCGCGACTACAAGAAGACTGGTTGCACACAGTCAATCGCTCTGGACAGCACACGGCCCCTGCTGATCAGCAGGGGCTGGCGCTCTCAGCAGGGGCTGTCGCTGGGAGTGGAACCGCCATGCCTCCAAAGAAGGACAAGTCGGCGACAACGGGTAATGTAAGGGGAAAAGCGAAAGGATAGGTCATCATGCAAGTAGAAGTTTTTTCTCCAGTGATGAAAGAGATGGGATCTCTACCAGCAACGACGATGGCGCTGTCCCGTTCCATCTTCTACCTGAAATCGTTCGTAATCGGATTCTAGAGTCATCCTGTGCAGAAGACGAAAGAGCTCGATCCGCGCAACGAGCATTATTAGTAGAAGCTAGGGCCGCAAGGCACGATGCTCAAGTCCAAGCTAACCGCGCTCATGACGAAAGACTTGCGAAAGCCGCGCGAGAGAAGCGAGAGAAAGAAGCAGATCTAGATATTTGCGGTCAGGGCGAATTCAGGGCCGCCCGCACGGCGACCATAGCCGCTAAAGCAGAGGCCGTCGCTGCCAAAGCTGCTCAGAAGGTGCTAAGGACACAACAACTCCTCACCAAAGCCGCGAACAGAAGAGAGTCCATAATGGAGGCATGGGTATGGAAACAGGGGGCGATGCGGCGGCAGTGTGTAGGAAGCCACCCGTATCACCGCCGGGTGCCGATTATTCCTGCCGTCGTCACGCCGGAGTGGTCAGGGTTCTCCTCGTGCATCGCATCAGGCGATCCAAGAATCGGGATGAGGTTAACGACCCATGATCGGGATATAGAGCAGACGGCGGAGCAGTTGCTCTGGTGGTGGCGTCGTTGTCATGTTGTGCAACGTTGCCCGATGACGCGCCGTTAAACATCCTGTCTTAGTTAAAGGTTGTGCAGTGGAAGTTATGAAGTATGCCCAAGCCCGCGGAGCTTCGAGGCAAATAGTTAAGAAATAGGGGTGAATCCCAGAAACTAACGCGCGCTGCACCATTTAGCTAAATATTTGGGAATTTGCTGTATATGGCTGTTGGGGGCAACACATTGGAACGAGTATCCCGAAGGGCGGGAAGATGAAGTCAGAGGAATGTGTAGGAGCAGCCCACAGTAGAGGACTCGCAAGGGGTGTCCCGTTCGGTACGAATAGCGAGTCGGGAGGCAATCGGGGGAAAGCACTGTGTGCGGTAGGTAGGCAGTAACAGGAGCTAATCCCACTGCACGAGTAGTGTCATGATGACCTTGATGTTGGCGAAGAAAATGGTAGGGTACCATTTTAGGGACTTGGTCATCTGAGACTACTGTGTGCAGTAGTAAGATTGGTTCCCTCCACCGCAGGAGAGGGCACCCTCAGTTGCTGTTTGGAGGGAAGAGAGAGACAGTCTTTATTGGGAGAGAGGCAGAGGCACGATAGAAAGGCCGCAGAAACGTGTCTGCGGGAAATGTGCTCTCTGCCAGTTTGGTATCTCTCTCTTCCCTCGGGCGGTAGAAAATATTAATAAACGCAATTCGAAAGAAAACAATAAAGATCCAACGGTCTTTTTCGGCAGTGGCAAAGAAATATGCGACCACATGCCGCGAAAAAAAAAAAAGTTGAGCGGGATACCGTAGGAAATAGAACACCGCCTTCTCTGTTGTTGCCGGCAGGTTTGCTTCCACAACCCGGGAGTCCAACCCACTCTTGTATTTCGGCCTACAAGACTCCAATCGACACAAGCACCGGTAGGAGAGTGCGTGGCAGATGCCGTGACAGCACAACTCCACTCTCCTACGACATCTATGTACAGTAGTACTGTTGTCGTTGTAGCACCATGTGGAACATCTCCGACGGGTCCTCCTGCGCGGTAACGACAACATGGCGAGAGCTCTACGTGTACCTGTCGTCGACACATGTGGCAGCCGCGCGACACACGAACGGATGCTTGCATCGCATTGTACTATGGTTCGCCGTGGCAGGAAGTATCCCATCCAGTTAGGTCGTTGCGGTACTTGTAGCACGCGGATGTCGTTCGGCGTCTAGTCCATACTGCTGTTGCAAAAAAAACATAGCAGCAGTAACAACTGACATGATGTCCCTTTCACCCCCGACGGGACCGCGCGCTTGTCGAGTGCCGAACTTCTTCACCACTTCCTTGCCTCTCCCAACACCGTCCCTTCCCCTACAAATCCTCTCCCCTTCTTCTTCTTCCCTTCCTCCCGGACACTCACCACCATCCGTCCTGGATGTTGGCCCCCAGCCCCATTGGGGGGCGGGGGGCCAATGCTTAACCCTAGTAATACATACATGCATACATACATACATACATACATACATACATACATACACATGTGTTCTTTCGCAGCACCACACATACACTCGCCCGAACGTAGTCACTGCTGCAAAGAGCAGAGGGCAGCAACAGGGAGGGATATATTACAAGCCCTGCCGAAGCCCAGATATCGAGGATATCGTGGTATGCTGCATCTCCCAACAATTTGAAAATCGTTCCCAAGATCCAGCAGCCATTCATTGTGCGAGCAGCTGCAACAAACGCTACAACAAGACTACTACTACTGCTGTAGACGAGTAAAACATATCGGCAACACATCCACACTCTTAGCGCCACCCATACCCTCGCCCGAACCAAGGAAACCACGAGGTACAGGTGTGTGCTGGTGTGCTGGTGGATGTGCTTGTTGTCTGAAAAACACAGGAGTGCTAGAGAGCTGGCAGGGCACATTTCGGGGGGGGGACAGAGAACAGAGAAGTACGGAAGTACAAATACCTGAAATACCTTGAAATACCAGCTATGTTTGTGGGTCTTCACTAATCATTTTACCCTCTCTGGACTGATCATTTACAATATGCCGAAAATAGACTAGTCGAGCCGGCTAGACGAACGACTGATCATTTCAAAGCCTACACAGCTATAACCTGCCCTACTGACCGCAGCGCGACCGTCCATCAACCCTTCTATGACCCTGTCTGTGGCCACCACCCTGTCGCCGGCTTCCCTCATGGCTTACAGGTGGAGATAGCTGTTGCGTGTGCAGGAGTACACTGGTGTCTTTCTCTGCACTGCTCTCTCTTCCGCTCGCTCTCGCTCTCATTTGTTTTTTTAGCGCAACAAATAATCTGGCAGTCCAGCCTAGACCCAAAGGGGTTAAACCGCTTTTTATGGCAGTACAATGTTGCAAGGAAAGCCGCAAACTTTTTCTTCCAAATTTTGTCAATGGAACTTTTGATGCCGGTTTACGCGTGGACAGGGAACGAGTAAGGCCATCCTGTGTTGTGGGGTTACACGCGTAGCGATCCCTGAAGACCCTGATGAAAACTCACTTGTTTATTACACTCTCTTGGAACAGCAGTGCTTGCTGTTGCCTTGCTCTCGAAGGTAGACTGAGCACAGGGGGGGAGGACATGCTCCCTCTAAAAGGGGCCACAAAGGTCGTGTATTTCATCCTTCCATCGGGAGTTACATCTCCCGCACTTTCCTCTGGGAATTACTCAGCAATACCGTTGGTACTGGCTACATTCAACTCCCATAACACTAGCCCACCCTGGAGGTTCTCGTACGCAGATACTTGAAACCTAGGAACTTGACAAATAATTGTCGAATCCCAGAAAAACGAAAGGATCGAGGA